CTATATTTAGAAAACACTCAGCACCAATGTGGACTTGGTGGGATTTTTCTCTTAATGAGCTGGGACACGGTATTACACAACATTGCACTGGACCAATAAGCCATTACTCAGTTAGAGCTAAGGCAATTATTCAGTTAGGGCTTTACTTCCCTCGAAAGTTCATTTGATGTATTTGTAGGAGGATGTTGTTTAAATAGCACACTTTGGCCTTTTATATTATACAGCAGCTTACACAGTACTTGATGCACAGTGTTTACATATAGCTGTGCAGTTACACTTAGGGAAGTTGTGAAAAGAATAGATTTTTGAACAAATAGAAGTTCTGCATGCTTAATTGGTCTAGTGGTTAATGTGCTGATATGTGCGTATACCTCAAGGGTCCAGCTTTAATATCCCAAGGTGATAAGCCCTGCAGTGATGCCAAAGGTAAGGTCAGAAACCTTGGCTAATTGAAGTCTCATGTAATCAGCAGAAACATTTCCCTGAGTTCTCCTGTATTATATGGTGGCGAGTCGGGGGATGACTTCACTGGCCCACTGATGGATGTTAAGAAAAGTACAGGCCGAGTCTGCAAATAACAAACGGGTCGTATAGCATGTGCAAGCTGTTATCACAATATAGTAGTCAGACTGCAGACTACTATATTGTGATCAAAAAGAGGAATGAACATTTTAATTATCATAATTAATAATCCTATCATATAGGATACAAAGATAGCATTTCCCCCAAACAAGTTGCAAGAACTCGCAGTGCAAATTACACAAATAGTGCTTAGTGACCCTTTTCAAAAAATAAGTCTCATGTCAGACCGCTATTCTTACACTTGGTTTACTATAGTTTCTCCCCTTTTTCCTTGTGCTTAGGTGTTACTATAGTAAACCAGGTGTTTTGCTTTTTTGTTTGTTTGTTTGCTTGCTTGCTTGTTTTTGTTTTGCTGGTCTCACAAAGGAAAAATTTATGATTTACAGTTAGCATTGTGACACTGTTACATTTTGAACTCTATCATTGAACAACCTACTGTCATGCAAGTTTAAACAAAACCACCTTAATTAAACCAGATGCCGTACTCTCAGTGCCACTGCACCCCAAAGTCTCCCATTCTGCTATGACGATAATTGTACTGTCAAGGTCATGGATGGTTAGGTTTCAGTACACTGTTCAAGTGGAAGGAATTGAATCAAAGGGCTCTGAAAGGGTCTAATCCCTGCACTGGAATGGCTTTGATTGTGTCAGGGCACAATTAAGAATAGGTACATGTATGTTTGGTCAATAGATCAGTCACTGAGAGTAGCTATGGCATGTATGAGCTCCTTGAACTTTTTTAAAATGCTAAATCAAGCACCTGGACTTTTTCTCATGTTTTATCACGCACAGTTGAAACTAACCTTCCAGCGCACACCTGTAATGTTGGCTGAGTGTATCTTTTATTTTTGTGGTATTGACTGTTTTGCATATAACCCTGACAAAAATTTCCAGTGATGCCCAACTATTTGTTTGGCATCCAGAAGCACAATTAGTTGAAGCTTACTTGTTTCCCTTGCTTAACCTCCTGATTTCTGGAAGGGGAAAAAAAACCCAATAACCCAGCCTAGAGTTTGGCCACGAATAGTAGGTTCGTGGCGCTTAGTGAGGGGTGGCTTGGAGCGTTTAGGCTGATGTAAATTAGTTTTTGTTTTTGTTGTCAACGGTGTGTCTGTAAATGATGAGTAGATGAAAAGTTGTGCTTGTTGGCCAGCCAGCTAGGCCCCACACATAGATTGAAAGGGTTAACGCTCATACTCGCACAGATGCCACGCACATTACAAGCGAGCCCTTTCATTGGTCCTAGTGAACACGGTGCCAAACTCTTTGTTTAGACTGCATTCATAGTTTGGTCGGTATTTGCAAGTCCAGTTTTGGAGGTTTTATTTTAGGGCTTCAAGGGGGGGAAAAAAAAAAACCCCGTGGAAATCGACAACTTTATCTTTTCAGTGGGCACAGTGTCAGGATAACATCTTAAAAGTGTAATAAGTAATGTGTCTGCATCAAAAGCAAGAGCGTACAAGTGCAATGTGTTTGCTGCTGCTTGCTTGATTCTCCTTTTCCAGGAAGCTTTGCACTTTAGCAATATGTGTGCTTAACAGTCAACTCTGCTGGAGCTGGGAGAGGACATATCGCCGTATACAAATCGGATTTCATGGGACTCTGAAGTTGTTGAGGTCTTTCCAAACATGACTTGATTCTTAAAAGTACACACCTACACACAAGTATTTGCAGTATACTGGACGCAAACATCCACACATACCGTCGTGTGCACATGTACATGCTGAAACAAACACTGTTTGGCAGAAACGCACACATACAAACACTGCTCCACCGCAAGGGCAGCTGGCTCACGACCGCTAATGCAAGCATGAGATAATATTAGCAATCTATAAAATGCCAGGTCCTATTTTTATAATGTGAACTGGGGGTCACGAACTGCTGCATAAAAGACCATCACAGTTATGAGCCTGAGCTGCTCGACTCCAAATATACCCCAGGGTATAACTTCAGACCTGGATATGTGCCTGTAGGGTATTTTTGGGTCAGTGTTTACAGGTGTTTGTTCACTGGCAGCAATGCCAGGAGGTTAGTAGGATACCCACTTTAAGAAGTTCAAATACACTGGAGTTCATGTTGTTGAAATTATGGTTATTTTGACCAAGGATAGCCGGGAGGCAGGGTCTTGGAGCAGGAGCACTTATTTTTAGTAGAGATGGCACGATACCACTTTTTTATGACCGATACCGATATCATAAATTTGGATATCTGCCGATACCGATATGAATCCGATAGTGTTGTTTTTTTTTAATCAACAAAAGTGTTTTTTAAAATATCTTGCTGCATTTTGCAAGTCTGCAAGTTCATACTCAAGTTTAAAACAACAACTACACTAAAGCTATCCTGTTATACCTGTATGCAAAAAAAAAATATTTCATAGTTCAGCAATACTGATCAATCTAATAAACTTAAACCTACACCATCCTCCCTATTCTGGTATTTTAAAGAGTACTTAGCATAAATATTAAGCAACCTAACTAATAGGGTTCCAACTCCCAGCAACAACAAAAATAAAAAAATAAAAAATAGGGAACCACCCCTCATGCTCCACCTCATGATGCTTAATCGACGTAATCAACCTTAATTTGATGCAGTGTGAAAAAAAAAAAAATGCACAGAAATCAATTATTTTTCAAGAAATATTAAATAGATTCAACATCTTTCTTCAACAAAATTGCAGACTGCACAGATGGTACCTTCCCAAAGGAAAAAGTACTATAGCTTACTAGGGTATATATATTAGACTTAATAGTCACTATATACAGTAATGGACTTCTATTCCTTTTACATCAAATTAAAACTTTGGGTGTCAGATAATTATTTATTAAAAGCTAGACATTTTAAATGAGAATAAGAAAGAAAAGTATGTCTTTGTGCCCCCTTTTCCCTGTTAATGCCCTATCGGCCCCCCTGGCTAAACTTTGCTAGATCCGCCCCTGCACAGTTACCAGCCGTCAGCTACGTAGAAAAAGATCCTCGTGTAGAAAGTAATAATAAATAAATTCTAACAACAGCTTATCAAGCTTAAACGTGCTGCTGTTGTTCAGCCGATGGTTTCCTCTTTCTGGTGCAACGTGGGCCAAAAGCAAACAAGAGACAGGGACTCGCGACAGAAAAGCCGATCAGCTGATCGTTAAGCAGTTTCACGATTGAAGTAGCAGCAAGAAGAGGCAGTCGCTCCATATTAAGCTTAACGAATGCTTTACAAACATTCAGAGATGGACTTACACACTTGCTTTACTTCTCTCGGGGATAACTTTGTCGGAGATGAAATGCCGGGTTGCTAGCGAAGCTCCAAATGCTATCCAGACCACTGACAGGTCCCGCATGCCACAGCCGCTCTATCACGTGATGCCTACTGCTCCGACGTGCTAACGTTCTGAGGTGAGTTACGGCGTGTTGCAAGTTTTGTGAGGTGCTTTCGTGATATTTAATGGATCGGATTACATTTTTTATTTTTCTCCGATATCCGATCCAGTAATTTAGGTCAGTATCGGACCGATACGTAATATCGGATCGGTCCATCTCTAATTTTTAGTACCGTAAAGTGCCGCATCTATTGCAGTAAATTCAGTTATTTTATCAAAGACCACACCTCAGATTGTGCAGTGGTTTTATTTGTCTAAAACTGACTTATGACTTATGGCCTGTCACTTCAGATCCACCTTGGTGAACTAAATCTAGAAGGCAGGAAGGCAAGTGCAGGACTCGTAATGAGGGGGGAAGCGAATTGTAGAATTTTCATGTTTTGTAAGAGGGTGCAAAAGATCTACAGTAAAGCTGAAGTTGCCGCAGGGATGCGATGCTCTTGGTAGTGGGGTTTTCATTTGGCTGTATTATGTGAATAAAGCAAAAGTTTGTTTTGGCTTACTGAATGCACTTTTATGGTGGAGTAAACTAACGCCGCAGTTTCAAGTAGCCTTTGTTCTCCTGTAAACCAGCTTAACCCTCTGTAGGGTTAAGCTGGTTTTAAATATGAAAACCTGGTAGTGTGAGGATTTTTTTTTTTTTTTTTTTTTTTTTTTTTTTTTAACTTTGATTTGTACACACAGCTGACCTTTAACTGCCCACCTTTCAAAAATGTATTAAAAGTAGCTTTTTTTTTTTTTTCTTCACCCTTATTTTCCAGCTTCCAAGTCACTTTCAAGCAACATTCATTGGTACATGAGTGAATTCTGAAACAAGTGCTGATGTCTCTCTAAACCAACCATTATATCTTCTGTGTTGTTGTTGACGTTGTGTAGTCTATGTGGGTTAAGTACTACTCTGTGCTATATCTGTCTTCTTCAGACTTCATCTTCCATTCCTTGTGTCATCCGCCTCTCCTTCCTTCATCCGTCCTCTCGTGGACGCTCTTATCTTTTCCCTGCTTCCTTTGTACTTTTCCACTAAGCTCCATTTGTGTTCTTTCTCCACAGGTGTCGCTCTGAGCACCTAATATCAAAACCAATTGCAAAAAAAAATATCTGAGAAACGTAAGCCATGGCTGTGGCCGGATGTCCGGATTATTTCCTGCATCATCCCAATTATCAGGTAAATGGAAATATTTCATTTGAGATATTCTATTTTTTTTATTTTTTAATTTTTTATTTTTTTTTTTTTGGGAAAAGGGCAAAAATGTTCTTTTATCCTCCCTGATCAAAGACCGAGTCAGTAACTTGTCGTGGCATGGTTGCATCATTCTACTAAGATGAATCCACAAAGAGCAGCAGCTGGCTGGACCTCTGAGGCTCCAAAAAGATACTAAAGTAAACTATATTGTTAAATTAATTCATGATTTCTCTTAAAATCCTTAACTTTGGCTGACTTTGGAGTCAGATTTGTCTCCTTACACCTGGTCTTTGCACAACAAGTGATGTCACAGCTACTAATATGAACTGTGCTTTGGTGTCATGAGTGTGCGATTATCGATTGTGTAGATGTGGAATATTAGAGCGCAGAGACTCTGTGCTTTCTCTGCTTCCTGTTTGTTTTAACTCTTCTACTCCCATGTTAGTGCTGATGCCAGGGATTTTCCTGAATGGTGATGCCCGTAATTCAGGAGAAGATTGCATTGGTGACATCACAGTTGGCCCAAACGGTGTGATGGTTATGAATAAAACTTCACTCTACAAACTGCACATGACCAAATTCCATCACTCAGTATCCCCTCAGCTGTCCCAGCTGCTGAGGTTTAGATATGGATTTATGTCTTTTGGTCAAGTTGTCCCTGATCTTATTGTCTTTTTCTGTTTAATTCAAATTTCCACAGACATTGATTTACAAGCGAATGCCATCATTTGTTGCAGAGGAACAAGAACAAACTTGACTTTTTGACCTTGCTGTTAGATTTAGCAGAATCATCACATCACCCTCAGTGGAGCAAAGGGCTTCCAAGCATTCAGAGCAGGCCAGTCCGGCTGTGCGATACAGTTCAGTCTGCTAGTCTGTGTCGATTCATTTATTTTGGCACAGTTTTCAAATTTCTTTTATGTACATGTGCTCACATACTTGTATATGTAGTAGGTTTGTGTCAGTGGTTCTACTACAATATACAGCAATTTCTAGCAGCTGTATATTGTATCTGCTGGTCTTATTTTTAATAACAAGTTATTGAAAAAGCTGCCAGAAAGTGAAAAGGCACAGTGAATTTAAAAAATAACAAACAAAAAACCATGGTGCCCAAAGATGGCAGTGTAAATATGTGTAGGCTAATAATTTTCCTGCATCTGGCCCTGCATTAATATTTTTCTTGTTTTAGATTATTCAGCACTAATTAAAGACAGACTGGAGGCTGTTTCAGAAAGAAATGAGACATTTAGCTCTTATTTCTTTGCCAATGGATTGGGCGGGTCCTGTTAGAGCTGTAGTATATGGATGTTAATGTACACACACACACACACACACACACACACACACACACACACACACACACACACACACACACACACACAGCAGTACTCGCTCACTCGGCTGTTTGGAAACCATTCACCTATAACAGATGTACCTTGACTCACTGGATGAGAAAACCCATTCACTGTGAAATTCCAGGGTTGTGGAAGATTTTCCCTGATAAAGCTGAAGCAGCAGTACCAAACCGATTCAGCTAAAGATAACATTCATTCTATACTCCAGGGATTATATCACCACTTTAATCTTGTTTCAGATGTAATCTTGACTGCTGGCTAAATGATCTATATGTGCAGAACTAGGCACATCTGATGAAGTAAAGGACGCTTGCTAGGAAGCTACACTATGCCCTACCAAGTCAAAGTCTGTATAAATGTCAGTGTATGCGGTTTTATGTAACTATGGAGAGTACAAGGAGAGTTCCTTGTGACACAAGGACTAAAACACTAAAATGCCATCTAAAGAGATCTCCACATGCCAGTGAACAATACTGTCACGAAATGTTCACTGAATAAACATGCACCAACCCCAGGACGCTAATATTAATGCTAGTTATAACAAGAGTTACCTGAGCATTTGCATGTCATTTGGGCTTAACATCAGCAGTTCGGAGTTTCTAAAGACTGTCCTTGTTTATGCAGTGTGAAGATGTGCATCTTTTCACTTTTCCAGTTTACTGTCAGTGCATGAACATTAAGACCAGCAGTATGCTACACGTGAGGGCAAAACTAGAGTTTGTTCATTTTTAACAACTTTTGTAGTTTCTTTAAGCAGTCATAAGGATCTGTAAAGGATATTCAAGGCTCTTCTTTTCTTTATAAGCACAAAACCTGAAATGGTTTACTACTATAACATTTCCAGACTAAAAAGTGGTGATTAAAGCCCTCAGTCTTGTAATGTTATGCAAATGTCTGTCATGGCCCAGCTCTGCCATGGCTCATTTGATTTTAACTACAGCTACAGCTACGTTTCCACAGTATAAACAAATTAATCAACAAAGCTTTGTAGCAGACATTAGTGTGACCTCCTGATCTCATTCTAGTTAGTTATGTAATAAGGGATTTCCACTTGCTGCCTAGTGTTCATGTACTGTATGTTGCAACAAGCCTATTAGCGTCGTTTTTTTTTCCCAGTAGGTCAGTCTGAAATAAGACTAGGACCCTTTTAGCATTAGTGATCTTATATTTAAAGAATTTTTGTTCTCATTAAAACGGTAATAGAAAGTGCAATTTTTATCCTGTGATACTTAAAAGCTTCAGCCTCTCTAATGTCTGCAGACTGCAGTCAAGCGTGTAGTGTCCACTGTGCAGAGGACAAGTGGACAGTTTTGCAGTAAGGATCCTAAATGAGCACAGTTGGTGCTTATGTAATTACTGTGTGCACTGAAAAGTTAAAAATTTTGAATTGAACGTACTGGGGAAAAAGGATGTTGAAGATGGAGCTGCCAGGCAGGAGGAAAAAACCTCCCCTCACTTGTGAGCAGTGTTGGGTAAGTTACTTTAAAATAGTAACTTAGTTACATTACTAGTTACTTCTCTCAAAAGTAACTCAGTTACTTCAAGTTACTCGTTACTTTGAAAGTAACTAGTTACTAGGGAAAGTAACTTTGGTTTTACTCAGAATTCTCTTGTTAATGTGTTGCTTCCATAACTTTGCCAGTCTTCTAGCTTGCTTACTTGCCACAAGTGCACTGTGCCACCTACCAATAGAAAGGATAAGATAATGTGCATATTTCCACGAGAGAAATCCCACGCCTGGACCGTCATTGACTGCTGCCATGATTCTAGCCTACGTCACAGAGTCATGTGCGCCTTTTACATCCAACACAAAAACTGCAGTCGTGGTGCTTTCGATTGTACTCAGAACTCAGAAATTCTGCCTTCTGAATAGGAAGATGTAGGTAACACCAGACTGCAGATGAGCTGCATACAGGGCTGGACTGGGAAAGAAAATTGGCCCGGGCATTTTGACTAGAAACTGGCCCACCATTATAGGAAAAATCATAAAGCCTTTGAATGAAAACAAACACTGTTGTGACAGTGATGTACACTGTTTTGATGGTATATATGCATCAATCTATCAATCGTTTGTTGTAAGATTCAGATAATTATTTTTTAAAAGCTAGACATTTTAAATGAGAATAAGAAAGAAAAGTATTTCTTTGTGCCCCCCATTCCCTGTTAATGCCCTACCTGCCCCCTTGGCCACACTTTGCTAGATCCGCCCCTGCACAGTTACCAGCTGTCAGCTACCTAAAAAAGGATCCTGGGGTTATTTGTCTCTCAGAAACAGTTCATAACTTCCCTTCAACTCATTCATGTCACCTAAAAGGTAAACCTGTTTCTCCATCACCTGCTCAGCTCTGATGATTCAGTAAGGACATCTCCTGGTTTCATCTTCATGTTTCCCTCTCACCAGATAACCAAACTATATCATGACCAGCAGCTTTACAGCTGTGGCTCCAGCAAACATCAGCTGATACTAGAAATTAATATTAAATAAATTCTAAAAACAGCTGATCAAGCTTAAACATGCTGCTGTTGTTTAGCGCGACATCCGCTGGTTTCCTCTTTCGGCGCAAAGTGGGCGATAAACAAACAAGAGAGCCGATCAGCTGATCATTGATCAGTTTCATGATTGAAGTAGAAACGGGAGAGGGAGGGGGGAGAATGAGAGAAGAAGAGGCAGCTGTGCAGTAAAGACACAGAATAACTCCAGCTTTGTGCCTTTTTCATTGTAGCTGAATTACGGGACAAACTGTTCCTTTTCACCTCAATAAGAAACGCGTAATATTTCTCTGAATACCAGACGGGACGGTTGGCAACTCTAATAACTTATGAACAAAATAAGGTTCAACATCATTAACTTCATAGCACCCACCCAGCTGTATAGAAACTCCGTCATGTTAGCTAGCACGCAGTACGGAAAAAGTCAGAATAACGAAAATAAACTCCACCTAAACTTGGTTCATATCTGACCCAGAGAGACTGCAGGTCAGAACTTCTTACCTGAAGTTCAGTTCACACTTGGACCGGCGGCCGCCTCGGGTCTCTTTTCCTTCTGCCTCCCTTTTCCTTCATCCACCTGCTGCCTCCACCACTTGCTAATGTTACTGAATCTGTGAAAGCTCCGCGATAGCCACCACACGAAGTAACGAGTAACGACCCTATCTAAATCCCAGTAACGAGTAACGCGTTCCTGATTTTGGCATAATAACTAGTTACCGTGCTCGTTACCACAATAATAACGTAGTTACTGTAACGCGTTACTTAATAACGCGTTAGTCCCAACACTGCTTGTGAGTGACGCTTGCTTGACGGTTGTAATCTGATAACTCGGCTTTAAATAAAAGGCTGCTGAGGTACCGACGTTTTGAATCATACTCACGTGAGCTAGTTTTGAATTCAACTGATGGAAACGACCTAAACTAGCAACAGTCTGAACTCAATGGTGAAGAGAAGACTGTCAGGATCAGAGTGGAATGTTGAGCTGTGTTAACAATGATGACTTCACTTACTGGTGAATGTGAATCAACTACTAGTGTGTGTTTGAGGTCCAGCCTCCACTCCTTTTCGTCTGTGCCTTAACCTTGCCTCTGGCCTTCCACTGACCCCTTTTTAAAGGGTTAAATCCTCAACCTCCTGACTTCTTTTTGAAGTTCTTTTCAACTTCATTAAAATGAAAGGGCTCTTCTGTGCTCCTTGTCAAAATTTGGCCTACAGTCAAAGTCCTGCTTTTTGCCCCTTAATAGTGTGCAGGATATGTGGGTGGGTGGGGAAGTCTGTGCATATGTGCCTGTGCTTATAAGATTCAGAGGTGTGATGACAAAATGCAAGAATACAGGAAAAATAACCTTTTTTTTCCTTTGTTGGTAAGACACGAGGTGTGCGTGCGTGCGTGTGGTTTACTTCCAGACAGCCATGCCATACAGCATTGAAGAACAGTATATGGTGTGAAAGAGTCTTTACACTTCTGCTCAGTGATGCTCAACCATGACCATCCTGTCCTGAATACACACAGCAACTTTGTGATACACTTGCACGCCAACCAAACTGCTTGGGTGACTGGGTAGGGATCAGTCACAGTCTGGTAGCTGGACCAGACGGTGTGTGTTGATGATGGGTTTGCTGTGTTATGGGAACAAATGTAGTAGTGTGGTGGTCATTTCTTTCTGGGGGGGGGGAGAAATACCACTGAAATTCAAGACAATAAAAGACTGAACAATACAGCTTAATGATTGGATGCGGTTGGGTTAGTTGGTATAGAAAAGCGGTTGGGGGTAGCTGTGGTCGACAGACATACACTGACAAAGTACATAGCATGTATACCAGTTTATTTTTTTATTTTTTTACCAAGGCTTTGGTTTTTAACAGAGGAGAGAAAAAAGTTAAACGTGCATTAATTCAGTATAGCAGTACCATTATTTTTGAAGAATGGAGACATCAGGGTGAAATTCAACAGTATTTCAAAGTGACTAGATCCTCTTTGAACTGTTCAACAGTCCTGGTTAGTGGGGTTTAGATGTCAAAATGCTTTAAAACTTGAGCATGAGAATAATAAAGCTTGTTATAGTGTTTACATTACGGTGTAAAATCAGTTTTGATTAGGAATCACTGCTAGCCTCACATTTGTGTAACAAGATAAAGATTAAATGTGTTGTTGCCATCAAGCACTGCGCTGCAAGGAAACAAATTTAATGAGATTCACCTAAAACCTTAAATGTATTAGCAAAAGGCTGCTTGTTGCAATGCTTTTGACCTGTTAACTCCAATGTGGGGCACAGACTCCATTATAGTTTCAAAAAACAATAAAAAAAAAAAAAATTGTGAGGTGTGTTTTTATACAAAAAAAAAATCTAGTTCTGCCTGCATTGTCTGTACTCTAAATGAGACAGAACAAGCTACTGTAGCAGCTTTTATTACAGCGTCAGAGGAGGTCTTGTGTGCTTACAGTGAGTAGTGATGTTTTTCTGAACACTGTCCACCCAGAACGTTCTGTTCCCTCTCCTGCTGTGTCAGGTCCTGTGCGGGACGCTAGTCGGGACACAGACGAATGATAAGTTGCTCTAGCTGTGCCAGAAACAAATCTGAGACGAATATGTTTACACAAATGTACATGGTCGCTCCTTTTACTCTGATTTTTATTTTATTTCTGACTTTTTGAACAGTTTGTCCTGACTGGACTGCTTCAAGCCAGCATAACAAAGGGCAATCGAGGACACTGTGGATGAGTGGTATCTTAAGTGCTTTCCATCTGTGCTCTGATGCACACCTGCCCATGTTTGCACACTGTTTATGCTATATGTGGTGTCATTTTACATTCGCAGTGTAGGGAGAGTAGAGAATAAGTTGGCTCAGGTTTTCTGAAGGCTTTGTAACTGAGGTTTGTTTTCCGTTGGTTATTTCCATTTATAGCTTTTACTTCCCCTAAAATGTTCTTAGGAAAAAAAGCTGTTTCTGTTTAGTTATAGCTTCGCCTTTTAAAGTGCAGCTCTGCAGGAAAAATGATTTCCAGAAATGGAATATACTATTCAACATGATATATGCGTTCATGTATAATCACCGGTTCCTATCAGTGGTTGTTTCTGTTGCTTATTTTGACAGTAGACCAGGACAAACGACCCTAACACTGGCACTTTAGAGGGCCTCGTGTTGTGGTTTCACATGGAAATGATGGCCACCATAAGATTATTCTACATGCTTGTGAGAAAGGCATATTTAGCTGGTTGCAGTTTGCAAACTCTGCGCCAGATGCCACTAATTCCTACACATCGGTCCTTTACGTGATCGAACAAGTTTCAACAAGAACGTGCTCCACCATGTGGGCGTTCAGTTCCACAGCATGAATGGTTAATTTAAAAATAAATGAATGAAAGGGGAGAGAAAACAAAATTTGCATTCAGCTGACATTTAAAGGGGTAATATACTGGTGATTTTAAATGTTGATCATGTTTAGATAATGCATGTTTACATTGGCTACTTTAACAAAGTTCTAAGCAACTCTTTATTATTTGTTTTGTTTTTTTCTGTCTTCTTGCTTCTCTCTCCCTCAGCAGGAAAATATAGACCGGTCTTCCAATCACAGACAGACTGATCTCATTGGTCCAAGATTTCAGCAACCGGCCAATCAGAGTTCTCCTAACCATCAAGGTTGGTCCTTTTTTTTTTGTTTTGTTTTTTACCTGATTGCACATTTAAAATGTCTAGTTTTGGAGCTTGTCATTTAAGACTGCATGCTATTTAAAATATACATAAAATAAAATACATATCAAACATTTTTCCATTGCCATTCTGTTCACGTGTTGGTTTTGGGGGTGTGATATATATTTGGGTCTCTTCCGCTGTCAACACTTGAGCTGTTCAAAGGATGATGTGCATGGACGCAGGGTGCTATTATAATTACACTGTCTATGGAATTGTGCCATACAGGGCTCATCCATGACAATCGGAGCATGAGATTTAAACACAATATTGGCTCAGCATGGGAGGTAAGGGTGGGGAGTCTGTGAGGACTCAACCAGTGAATTAGAACGCTTGTCGCTGGCATGGGAAATAAATGGAGCAGAAATTACATTGTCATTTTTCAGGATCATCTGGGATAGAGGGAACTGAGGACTGGAGAGGCAGATGAATGGAGATGAGTGTCACTAGGCGATATTTTTGTTTACACACTCGGAATATCTCTTTGTCATGCTTATTTTACAGTTTCATACATTGGACGACAAATTATTACAAGAGCTCATTCAAGCACTTTAACACTCGATTGGTACATCTGGATTTTTAGTCGAATCACTGTACTTGCTGACATTATTAAGCTTGTTTTCAAATAACTATCCACTTTTATCCTTTTTAGCCCATTAAAGTCACAAGTATTCACAAATGAAACAGTACAGCTTTGTTGGACAATGGCCTTTATCGAATCATTTGCAAGCCAGTATTTGATTTGATGAAATAGGAGCTGCTCTGGATGATGTTCTCAACATGCAGCTGTGCTAACCACATTAGGTTATAATTAATTTAGTGTGGAGTTGAGTGTTTTGCACAGCTTATGTTGGTCCAAGTGCGTAACCAGAAAACTGACAAGACCACATTGTCCAGTACCTTAGCATGCCACGTGAGTCATCTCGTGTCAAGGGCTCAGAGTGTGCTAATTCCTTCTGCTTTTGTTGTTTTTCTCCATGTTCGCGTCAGTTTAGGGCTGGGCGATATGACCCAAAATTCATATCTCGATATTTTTTAGCTGGATGGCGATATAAGATATATCTCGATTTTTCTTTTTAAAGCCATAAGTTAAGAACAAAAAGAGAGTTCTTAGTCACACTGTGTCCCAGATGTCACACGGGCACTTTTATTTACATACAGCGTAGATATTACTGAAAAATAAATTATCAGCATATATTAAATAATCATGGTCCATAAATAAAAGAAAATAATGTTGTTTTTGTGCATAACAAAAAGCTCACAATTGTGCAGTCAAAATGTAAACTAAAAGACGCTGAGCATAATAACAAAGACAGATTTCACAGCTGCTCCACGTCTCTGAACAGGTGCCATTTGTGGTCCTTATACACACACTGTACGTATCACTCCGCGAGGCTCCTCCTCTGTAGCCGTAATTCTCCGACAATCCATCAAGCGGTGCAGCTCCGTAGCTTAGCAAAGTCATATTAAAACATTTTTTGACAGATTGCTGAGCGCTGTGTACCACATAAAATCGGTTCGCGGTCAGTAAGCACAACCAGAATTCATACATAAGGCGCACTGTCGATTTTTGAGAAAAGGAAAGGATTTTAGGCCGTGCATGTCGTTAGCGTGGTTAGCTCGCTAACACGTTGACGCCATCCAGCCCCACGCACGGTAACGGAGATTTTCCGCTTTCATCTTGTCATTGCCTGCAGGTGAAGCTATGGGGGAGGGGGAGTTGTGTTCAGTGCAGGAGAGGCGAGGCCGAGTAACGTTGCGTAGAGACAAAAGTGGACGAAAGAGAGGCAAACCTGCGGCTCCACAAGTATAATTATAACGTAACATAGATTATATCGATATAAACGATATTGTCACATCTTATATCTCGTATGAAAATATATCGATATTTTTAAAAAACTCGATATATCGCCCAGCCCTACGTCAGTTATTTCTCTGGTATAACGGAGCTTAATGACAGCATGTGTTTTGACACAGAAAGTTTTTTGTGTGTTCTGATGTATCTCTGACAATAAGGAAAATCGGCATCTTTACAATCTGAATTCTTGGGTGTTATCTCATATTTTGGAATTGTTCTGACATCGTTCTCTCCTTATGAAGGCAAAAAAAGACCCATATTGTCTAACACATCTTAAACGTCTTCTGTCATAAATACACTTTGCCGACTGCAAGATGAAATCCTCTGAATGTGACTATGTAAAGGTTATTTAATAGTAGCAGTATTTATTGGCCTTTTTGAATCCAGTGAATGTAGCAAAATGCCATCTGCCACAAGTGTAAGATGTTTGAGTCCCACATCTCTCCACTGTCGCACCTCAGACCCTCACTGGTAAACATGGATGTGACCATTGTTCCTGGTGGTGGTGGGGGCATATCTGTGATGGGTATGCAGCTGCTAGGCAACAAATCCCATCAATGCTACCAATGCAACCAATGCAGTTCAGTAATCTGATGGCGTGGCTCCTCAAGGGGTCAACCAGTCAAGATCTCAGGCTGGAAATGAAGATCCTAGGTCTTCAAGTTATGCTTGGTATTTTTAAGGAGGATGTGACAGACGCACCATTTTAACAAACAGCATTTCACCCAGTTCGTGTGAAATTCATTCTTAGGTCCTGTATGTATTATGCCTAAGCTCTGACACTTTGGCTTCCCACAGAGATATGTCAAGGTCATCCCAGCAGGGGAGTGACAATGCTAACTTCTCACTTAAGGGGAAGCTAGTGGGTGGAGGTTGAAATGCTTTTAGCAAGAGCTACATCAGTGTGGCAGCTGCAAAGCTTTTGGGTTTGGGCTTTTGTGTGCAGGCATGCAGAAAAGAACAAGGGTGAATACTTGGTCAGACCCCAAACATTGAGAAGGTGTGTTTGGACGTGTATAGCAGTGTGAGAAGATTTGTGAGAGTGTAACAAGGGATATTATATTATAATTGGCCCTGTGAACCATATAACTCTGTGGCAAGCCTAACACTATTGAGAGATTAACAGTGGTCAGCCAGCTGATAGACCATCATCCCTCTAGCCAGATCTGCGCTGTTAATTATCACTCTAAGCAATTTCACCCACTTTTCCTTTTACATATAATTCCCACTCAGATGTGTTTCTGATCCTCTGTTCACTCCTGTATTTTCTTTCCTTCAGTTCTTGTCCAATCTTCCCCCTCCTCCTCCTCTCCTCCAGTTTCATTCAGACCCTATCCCACACTCCCTCCAAATCAGGAGGCTTGGCCCTCAGTGGGTGTTGTCACCGGAGGTATTGTACTCCCCAGTGCAGAGCCACGCTTAACAGTTCAGACTTGGCCCGTCTATACTCCCCCAATCTCTTTGAATGTAAACCCCTCTGCTGGGCTCGTATTCAAATGCTGTTTGTCCCTCAGTACATTTTTTGTGTGTGTGTGTGTGTGTGTGTGTGTGTGTGTGTGTGTGTGTGTGTGTGTGTGCAGTTGATGTACTGTATATGTATATATTCCCCCTTCTTTAGGGTTGCGGCCCTTTTTGTTTTCTTAACTAGCAGGAATGAATAAAAGATGAAAAGGCAGCATTCCTGGAGAGCCATACGTGTCTGCCATCATCGCAATAGTCTTGCTTTTGTCCACGTCGCTCTCTCGCTAATGATCCAAAATATTCAAAACGGATTTTATGCAGATTTTTGTCAGGTCCAACTAGTTCAGTGTGTTCTGACTGTATTTGGCGTGGCTCAAACAATAGAGGGTGCTTGGGCTATTTTTACCCCTAATTTAACCTGTTATGGGTCCTATGAAGAGGAGGGAGGGCAGTAAAGATGTCAGAGGAGGAGGAGAGGGAATGAATTCCACTCATGGGAGAAGTGAAACGATGAGTAAATGAGAACAGTAATGTCCGTGTTGGTCTTGGAGCGGTCGAGGCTTTATATTTGGATCTGACTTCTCCAGTGGAGTTTAGGCCGAGTTCTTTAAAAAGAAAAGGGGAAAGGATTTGGTTATTATGAATAAACCAAAAATATACTTATCAAATATGACAGTTAAAGCAATTTGCTCAAATGGAGCTTAAATAGTAACCCAGTGCTCTTCAAATGTAGAAGAAAAGCACAGTAACTGAACCACCTCCACGTGGATGCACAGTCTCTAAGATGATAGGATCCAGGATAATCGCACCTCTTAAAGGACTAATTTAGCGAAAGGATTAAGTAATGAGGTACTTGTTACCTGTGCTCATATCCATTTACCGCTCAGTATTAGGACTAATTTCTGCCGCTAGTGATTTCCTTCCTACCCATTCTGTTGTGTGATCCCTGTTGCATTTGTAAATACTTCCTGTGAGGAACGGATGAGGCTGAGTCAGAGCCTGTAGCTGTAAGATTTTTAACCGAGATGCCTCTCGGGTGAATACAGCTTTAAATAAATCCTGCTATCTGTTGGTTCTTTCAATCTGTTTTGCTCTGTAAACTTTGCGCATGGTGGTGAATAGGAGTGCAGCAACTGTGTAATGGCTTTCACAGCGAGGTTCAGTGTTGTTTTAAAGCTCCATGCCTACAAGGCTCATAACATGGTAGTGATGCTGTACATTAAGCATATGCATCAGAGCTGCTACTTGTCTCTTTCTTTCCTCCCTGTTTTGAGTCTAAAGCTGCAGCTATGTGTGCTTCCTGCTGCACGAGCTGCTGTGATATTTTATTAGTATATTATAATTTCTGTAATATAGTGAGAGCACATGTGAGGATAGATATAAAGGTTTGTGTCATTTCTCGTGGCTGCCAAAGCCAAGTATCACGTGTAGCTTCTGTTTTCTGGGCTGTGTCCAACGACGAACAATGATAGGCTGCTTCCCTCTCCAGATCTTCAGAGTTTAAATCCTCTGCATGTGTGCGTGCCTGCCTGCATGCCTTCTGTGTCATCAGTCTGTCTGCCTCACGCCACGGAGCATGACGCATATCTTTGTTTGTGCGATTGTGACATGCATTGGTGATTGCGATCATATGACTGATAATGACGCACAAGTCTTCCATAGCTGCAAGAGTTTATGGGTGGTGTTTCTTTGTATGCTGACAGTTCCCCAGAAGCCATACTAGGTCGGGTACATGCTCTCCCTACCTTGAGGGTCATGTCGCATCTCTGAAGAATAAAAAGGATAAAAGTAATTTTTGAAATTTGGTCTTACATTTCATGTAGATTTTCTAAACTTTTAGATATATGTAGATTTCCTTTTTTAAACAACAGGTGCAGCATGCAGGTCATGGTGCTCTGTTCGATATTACAACTGTGTTGTCTGTCCTTAGTCCTGTGTTTAGCCCCGTATGCACCCTGGATCCTGTGGCATATAGGTCTTTAGCTCTCTAGGCTATCTATAAGTAGCTGCTGCAGCTTATCTGTCACTATTTATACCTGCAGATTAAGCGCCAGCAGTTCAGACACCTGTGGTGCACCTTCCTTACATTTTGTTTTAAGGAAAAGGTCCTCAAAGGCGACACAAAAGTTTTAGCAGGTAGCTATAGCTAGAGGCAGAGCCATGCCTTTGCATGTAGATGTTTGCGTGAAGATACTGACTCACTAACCTGTGACGCCTCTTGTTGTTTAATCCCTCCTTCTTCTTTTTTTTTTTTCTCCCTTTTTTTTCCCAGAAGAGGGAAAAAGTGGCATTTCCAAAAGAAAAATGGCCCATTGCCAGACTGGTGCTCACTTTGAGGCCAGTGCTTTTAAAACTACATTAGTCAGATTACAGTTTTCCAATGTAAGCTTTCTGATGAGTCATGGGATTTTTACCTGTGATATGACACCTGCATGATCCAGCTGTCAGGTGTGCTGCACTCTGAGTCAGCAGGGACACGACGTGAGGCATGTGGGGCTCATTTGAATTCTGACAGCAGGCCGGTGTCTGTTAAAGTTACAATGTAGTATTAATTTACATTCATTAGATTAGTATTTTTTTTTTTTCTCAAGTATACTGGGTATAGCCTAAGGTTTTGTGGATGCAGGAGGCGGCTGGTGCTAACAAAGCATCTGTATTACTTTCCATTTCATTTAGACTTACCAATTAGTTACTAACAGAACTATGATCTAAAGCTGACGTGTGCATATTCATAAATGAGCATAGATGTATAATCCATCCACATAAGATTTTTCACAAAGGGCATCTTCACTGCTGAACAAGAAACTAACAACCTCAGTGCTTCCTAATCCCAAAAGTCTTCTGGTCCTGTGTTCCAGGGATGCAAATTTAATGTAGTTTTTGAAAAATGTTTGTTTTCAGGAGTCTCAAAGCTCCTTTCCTCATCCAATTAGTTTGTCTCCCTCTAGTGGTTTGCATTTGTGCAACAGCACGGTTGGGATCTCTACAGAGACCTTATGATAAATTCATGGGATAGATTTCTTTTTCATAATGGAGAATTATTAATCACAAGCAGAATCACAGCTGCGGCTTGTAATTTAAAAAGAGCAAAGTTGGGCTGTCAGTTTACCCAGATGCTCAAACTTTCACAGCATGGAGCAATTAGACGAGTTTCCCTTCAGCTGAGCTCACGTCAGGCTTTGATAAAACATGCTCCTGGAGTCGGTTGAAAAATTCACTTCATGAATTTAAATGTGCCTGGAGGTTTTCGCGAGGACTTTGAAGATAGACACCTTCTGAGAAGAATTTCACATCTTTCTTTTAAAGACATTTAAAAGCTGAGTGTTTGAAAGCTGCCCTGAATGCAGAGCAGATGCTTGCAGTGCGGTGCCTTTACATTGAACCCCAACGGTTGGAGCTGAAAAGTGTCATGGGCAGGTTTGTGCTTGTACCTGATCTCCCTGGAGATTTGGCTCACAGGGCATTACGGTGTATTCAGTCGAGATGTTAAGATATTCCTGCTGATTGAGCACTCTGGCAAAACTGGCAACAAATCTGTGCGCGTGTCTGCGTGGGCGCTTGTGTGTTGTGTATTTTCTTTCTTTTTTTCTTTTACCTTGAGTTACTAGTGCAAAGGTTCAAATCCAGGCCACAGCTAGATGAGAAACTGAAAGGGGAAAGTGGCTGAATACCCAGGGACTTAATCATTTTACTGTGTTTTAAAATAAGAATCAGTCCTATAAGTCTGCAGCACTCGCACCCCCAACCCCACTATGTGTTGTTGCACTTACAGGATACCTATTATGCTGATTTCCACCTTTAGATTTTTAGGTATTTGGGCACTTGAGTTGTCTGTATGAACTTTTTGAACATGGTTTTACAGCAGCTGCTCTATTAGCTGGAGCGAGTTTCAGCTGACGGTCACAGTTGCCGATCTTTTAAAGTGGGGGAAAAGTATCCATAGATGCCAAAATTGTTTCTACCAGGCTGTGAACATGCTTTTAAATGCTAAAGTTGGACATTTTAACACTGAGTTTATGGGGGCTGACTTTTTATTTTTAATATTTATTTTGAAGTCTCCTCTAAAGGAACTTTTTTTTTTTTTTTTTTTTTTTTTTTTTAACTGCGTTGGCTGTTTTAGCTCCTATCACTTCAAGACCCCCCACCCTGTAAACAAGTATACGGTTTTAAAAAAGGAATACAGAAAAGGAGTGGACTGGTACTCATATAGTGCTTTTTAAGTTAAGCACTCAATTCTGTAACTAAGCACTTTAAACCTACCTCACACACTAATGAATGCACAGAGGCAAGATGCTGAACTCAGCCAGGGTTTGAACCACCACCTACCTTCTGAGTGGTAGATGATCCACTCTACCTCCTGAGCCTACAGAAGAGCTTGGACCGATCTAAAACATATGACCATTGGCCCACAGTGCAAATTTCACATACACGTTATTTGAAACCTCAAATTTAATATGCGCACTGGTTCCCTTTGGTGTTTGTCGATTTGTTGTAGTTCTTTTCATTACACAAGCAGTTCATGCTGTTACTTTACAGGAGCTCATGTCAGGTTAATGCTAACTCACAGATTTGTTCTGCCATATCTGTGTCTTTTAGAGGATGATGTCGACTTGGAGGCCCTGGTGAATGAAATGGACTCTTCACTGGAGAGCCTGTACTCGTGCAGCGGTCCACAGACAGAATCGACTCCTCTGCTGCACAACGGACAGACCTCGACGTCACACAGCCACCACCATCAAGCACATCAACACAACCAGCCACGGCAGGGACAGCACTCACACGGGATAAGCCACATCTCCCCAGAGCCGCCCTCCTCGTCTTCAGACTCGCCTCAAACCGGCCTCCGACGGTCACAGCCGATGCACATCAATGCTGTCAGGTAGCTGCTCAACTAGTTTAATCTCCTCCAGTTATGAGCTTTCTGTTTGTTTGTTTTTTGCTTGATGTGATAGTAAACTTAACTTTCAGTGTTAAGAGTATGGGTTTAAAGTTCGGACTGGAGGAAACCTATAAAGAGAATCTATTATGCTGCCCCCCCCCCCCCCCCCCCCCTCAATTCTACATGGCCAAAGTTTCAAATTAGGTCAGTGTAAGTCGTTGTAATCTTCATAAGCCAAAGGCTCAAGCTTCAGACTGCTCTAAATATTTGGTTTTCCACAGTGACGGCAGAAGCAGAAACTCCATGTACCTCCTGTTCAAAACTTTTGTGTGTGAGGCACAGCCAATCAGATCAGAGTTGGCTTTACAGAAGGGGAGAGGGTGCTAAAAATGCTTGTTTGAGGCAGTAGATGAACTGAGGGGCTTTAGTAATTAACAGGATAAGAGGAGTAAGCATGCTTTTAGTCTGTGATGTGTGCAACGTAACTTGGTAGTATTCAAAGTTAAATGTGGAGCTGGATGGGAGTTCAGGCTCCATTTAATCTGAGACATTAGGTTTCAGTATATGTTACACCATCTTTGGGCATCTCATTCATCCTCTGTTAACTGTCAAGACATGTGCAATCATCGCCCTAAAATAAGTAAATTTAAAAAAATGCTAAAAACAACAGGGCTATAACTGCTCGTGCACCCACAGAATCAGCAAAAGTGTGGTAGTAACTTCAGCCACAAACTTCTTTCAGCCTCGTATTATGCGTTTGCCACATGCGTAGCCACACAGCAAGACTTCAAACCCTTTTTTTCTCTTCAAATTTCAAAAGAGAATTTTCACTGTACACCATCATCCCTCCACACCCACTCGATAATTGAGCATAACGGTTCCTCCTGGCTCCCGATCTGTAACCCCTGTATGACCCGTTCCTCCCTTTCACTCCTCTTTTACATCAGCCTGCAAAGGCGAGAAGAAGATTCTCATTTATTTAAGTACCATGTGCATATGTCTCTTTCAAATTAAACCGTGCTAACCCGCATCCTCCTCGAGGCTGCACTCATACACGTTGGGAGAATAGAAGTATAGCTGTGTGCATGCACCGCAGAGCTGGTGTCAGCGCCCATTACTCGCCTTTGGACTATGTGACAATAACACAGGAGGGGAGCATCAGGTAATGGAGTATTCTGTCTTATGAGCGCTCTTTTTCAAACGCACAGAAGCAGGCCCTGAAGTTCTTATTATTCAGGACTGACCTCTAGATAACCCTGTTCTCCGGCTCAGATGGGACGACATCAAAAGGCCCGTTCCCTTTTGAACTCGCTGGGTTCTTCGGAGCGACAGAGCTCGACTGAGGAAGAGAAACGGAGGCTAAGCAGTCTTCCACACATTTATTTATTTGTAGTTATTAAGCTGGGATTCCACAAACAGACTTGCCAATTTAAAAAATACTGAAAGTAATGGTTGATTGGCTGTCCGATAATAATTTGAGTCTTACACTGCATGTGCCAAATTTATATATTTAAAAAAAGAGAAATCTGCTTTAAAGCGATGTCTTGATTCGTCATTGATGTATTATTAATTGAAAAAAATTAACTAGCTGGCTGGGGTGGCTCTGTGATTTCCACTTGCTTCGAGACTGTTCATTACGAGCAGATCAGACAGAAACGGGCATGAGGCTGAATACTGTACAGCAGAACTTGATTAATTCTAGCCGCCTTTCCTGCACGTATTTCACAGCTGTCAGCAGCTCTGTTTTAAAGTTTGCTTCTAAAAAGGCTGTTCCAGGTCATGGACTTGGACTAAAGTTTGTTTTTTGTTTTTTGTAACCATAATAATAAACATAAGCTTAAACCAAAAGAGATGCTCTGTTCATCAAACCACTTTACACGTCTTTATCCGCCTCTTTCTTCAGGAGATTGCAGGAACAGGAGCAGCAGCTGAGGACGTCATCTCTCCCGGCCATCCCCAACCCTTTCCCTGAGCTCTGCAGTCCAGCTAGCTCACCTGTCCTCAGTCCTGGGTCTCTACCACCTGGGGAACCTTCCTCGGGCAAATATGTAAGTAAAATTCAAGTTGTTTTTTTTTTTTTCGCCTCTTTTTCACCAGTTTCCGCCACTTAAAAAAAACAAACAAGTATCCATAACTCGAAGTTTCGAAATATTTTGTTGAAATTTCGACTTATTAACTCGAAATTTGGAGAAACATAACTCGAAATTTCGAGTTACTTTTCTCGAGTTAGCTCTGCCAATCATTAAGCTACGTGAATGAGGTCACTTTCTTGTTACCCGGAAGCATATGGCGCAGAGTAACGCGCACTCAAAACCGCATCGCAACAAATTGGCGCTTTCGTGTGCACGTTTGCTGATAGCGACGTCATGCGATTCAGCTAATAACACAAGGATTTCATTATGTTTGAAGCCACGCTGAAAATACTCAGCAATCTGTGGATTCATGACTGGATATAATACTGGTAGCTTAGCTGTAGCATTTGTAGCTCAGGGCTTCAGCTTCCGGGTAACAAGGAAATGACGTCATTCACGTAGATTACTGATTGGCAGCGCTAACTCGAAATTTCAAGTTATGGATCCTTTTTTTTTTTTTTTTTTGTGGCGGAAACGAGCTTCCATACTTGTTAATCTCTTTGCGTTTGGATGTGTTGGATCAAAAACATTTTTTGTCTTATTGTTTGGGAGAGCATGGAAGACTTCTTTTCCCCTCTTGAAGAACTGGATGTGACACATTCACAGACCCTTGATTTATTTTCATGTTGTTGACTGAAGCACATTCGACTCAAAGTGCTGTATTTGTTTTGAAGGATGCAGATTTTAAATATTGTGAATCATCTGTATGCTAGCCATGTCAAACATTTGGGAAAGTCTCCTGGCTCACATCTGCCCCGTGTTTTGCTCGTCTGAGGCATGTTTATTGCTTGCATGTGATGACACTGTACTGTACAGTGCACATGTTTTCAAGAGGGTTTGCGGCTCGATTTAAGGAAAATAGTGAGATGTGGACTGGAAGCGTTTGTGTGTGCGTGTGTGTTTGTTTGTGAGCATGTGTACCTGCACACATGGCTGAATGTTGGCATGTGTGTTTGTTATGTGCTGACAAAGATTTAGGGACTCTTCTGTCTGTTCCTGGAAGCTGGAGTCTCTCTATTAACAAGGTTAATGATCTTCATATGGAACCAGCCAACACTGGTTACAGTAACATAGCAGTTTACAGTAATATGGGGGTGGACTATTTCTCATAAATACTCTGGCTGCAGCTCCTGCCTGTTCTGGTACGAGATCACAGACTCTAGTTCCAGCTGAGTCGTTCTGAGCCCTCCCTCAAAAAACAAAAGTTGTGTGGAAACGTTCTGAGCTTGAAATCCTAGATGTGCCATAAATCCAGGTACCTTGTGAGGCAGCTGGATTCTCATGAGATCTGCAAGATTACGTCTTGCCCAGTGTGTAGCATATGTGCTTGTGAGTGAACCACAGTTGAGTTCCCTGGCATCCACGGCTGTGGTTTTGTTTTGTTTTTCTTTTTTGTCTTTTTTTTTTTCTTTCTTTTTTTGGTGTGACGACAGTCAAAAAGGAAACAAGCTGGACTGGTGTATACTGCGCTCTAGCATCAGCTATAGCAGAGTTTCTCTGTTTTTGTAATAGACAAACAAAAAAGTTTCTTTCCCTTAACTGGTTTTGAAAGAAGTTGAATTTATCATCTGTTTTCACTGATACATTTTATCTAATTAGTTTTAAATTATAAAAAAAATGTTTAATTTAATTTTTTTTTGGTCTGGCTTTTTCAAAACTGTTCCAGACACTGCTTGCCAAGCTCATCAGGTATCAAACACACCTTGGTAAATCATCGGTCATGCGGTTAAAAAGATTAATGTCTCACGAGGACTTTGAGTTTCAGATTAAATTGCTAACTGTGCAAACATTTTGTCTGTATGTTAGTAAAGCAGGCGTATTGGGTAAATATTCGAAACCACTTTATTATAGTGGGTGACTCACTCTGCATGTGAATGTTTTTGATGTTTTTTGTTTTAAAATACACATATTAAATTAAATATTCTATGCAGAGTGTAAAGTGCGGTCTTGGGGAATGTGGAGAGGAACTGGAGTTGTTACAAACCAACAGTTTCCACTAACATTGAAGCAGAGCTGCGGTGATCTGATGTGTTGTTTGTGCCGAGCATTGTAACAAGCAATGATTTAATAAAGCAGCAAAAGATGAAAGCCTGACTGATTATTAGACTTTTTGTATTTAATTTTAATTTTATTTTTTATTATTAGACTTTTAAGGCATAGACCAATATTTGGTGGTGTGTGGTTTGTTTTGTTTTTTTTTTTTGTTTTTTTTTCTCCTCTCCAATATTCAGATACATCTGGCAGCATTTAGTTTTTCCCAACTCAGCTGGACATAAACTGGGCTGGGGTTGTCTTTGTAGGAGAGGAAATTGTTGAATGCCTCAGGTGGACAAACTCTATTTCCACACCCATAACATGGTTGAAGGGTCGTCTTTACTTTTAATCTTTTAAATTGTAATTTACCGACTGTAATTGCTGCTGTGATTCATTAGCAAATGGCTAATTACCAGCTGATGATATTGGCCCTATGATAAATCAGTCTGGCTCCTATTACTGTTGTTCTGTATATGACAACTCCAAGCTAACGTTTTGTTTACATCTTTCACGCGCTGTGTAAACATTTAATTTCATCATGAAGTGTTTGTCTTGTGAGACTGGCTTTGATTTTAATTATGAGAGATCTGTTTGCCAGTCATAATTGAAGGTTAGCATGACGTGCTGAATCTCTGCTATACATATACTGAGACTGTAATAAACCTTGAACATACCCATAAAGATAAACAGCCCCCCCCCCACAAAAAAAAGACCAACAGGACCTTTTGCAGGTTTTTTACGGATCACCAAACTTTTACAAAGAAGAGCAACTATGGAAAATGTAACTCCTTTTGTGTGTTTACGGTGTACACACTTTTGTAAACATGCAAACGCGCTATGCATCCGTCCATGCATACGGGTATATTTGTTTTTTAGATACATGTGTGGCTGCATTCACAAACGCCTCTTACTCTTTGTGAGTTCTGTAAACTATTTACAGCACTGGCACTGTCTATCCATTGTTGATAGCAATGGAAAGTATGTCTCATTGGAAATTTGATTCAGCACCTTTCCACTAAAAACTCTCCCATGGAGCAATCTCATCTCACACCAGTGCCTAATAAGGGGGTCCAGTTTCGGAGACGATGGCACCACTTTCTTGTGGTATAGTGGTTCAGATCCATAAAGAAGAAAGTGAGTTGTTTAGGTTTGACATGTAGGATGGTGAGCATGTAAATTATTGCACCTACTTTCTACTTTATCATTTAAACCATATGTGCCCTGTTGTGTGCCTTTTTTCTTCTTTCTGCCCTTTCTTCTGTCTTTGACATTGTCTCTGTGTACTCATCTGCATGTCCTCCAAATACTAAATTAAAGCAGCCAGTCTGCTGTGGAGAAGTTTCTGTTTAGTTTACAGAATTTTCCAACCTCCAGGCGTTTTCTGACAGACTCATACTTCTGTCTTTCTGGTCCTCCTTACTTCAGCCCTTGGCCTCCGTGCATGAGGATGTAGTGCAGGGCTGTCAGGAATCATTGGCCACGCAGTTTGACACAGCCATATGATTCGCAATTACCCACCCAGCCCCCAAAAGCCACCCCATCCCAACCCATTCCCGTTTTCCTCCACTTAATTCTCAGCTCTCCTTTCACAGGCTTTTTTTTTTTTTAACTGTACACTGTGAAATACATGGGCTAGTGTTTTCTTTTGTTTTGTGTTTTTATTTTATTTTTAATGAACAGAGATCAAATACAGTGTTCGTGTAAAGCTTTAGTCAGTGATGGTGCATGAGAATCATTAAAATAGGTTATTTCAAGAGCTTCTGGATGATCAACAAAGCTGAACTATCTAGTTTTTTTTTGTTTTTTGTTTTTTTTGTAAGATCACTGACACTTAACTACTGTGGCATGTTTAAAAGCGTGCATAGGTACTGTACATTGTATTACTGCCAACATGCTTTTTATTTTAGGCAGTTCTCCGGCTACATACATGTACCCATTGTGAACCATGTAGGACAGCATGTATGCTTGTGTTATGGGAAATCCTCTAAGAAACAACAGTAGTGTAGTCATTGCTTGGTGGATGCTGTGCTTCCATAGTTGTCCCATTCATTCTGGAGTAAAAAGCAGTGATATGGTCACTGGATAGCCAGATTTTGTTGGCTTCAGCATACCCTGTATGTCCTGTAGCCCTTTACTCCACATTATGGCAGGCTTCTCTTGTCTGTTTCACTATCATCCCAATGGGGGGGGGGTGTTAAACTGCATCTGTCCTTTTCTCTCTGTCATCATCTCTTGTTAGGTCTTTACTCCAAGCTTTTAGTCATCCAAAGATCCACTTGGTCTTAGCTTGGCCCTAGTACTTCCAAGTGTGTCCTGTGACAGTTAAGTTCTGTAGATGAATACTCATTTGCACATGATGATATGACAAACCCAAAATAGCTCATAGTGCCAGACAAGCTGGGGAAGATTGGTTGACACTAATAATGTGCAAATGGGCTGTTGGTTTTCAGTGTCATCATCATGTCCAGTTGAGCAAGTCGGATTAAATAAAATTGTAATTGCTGTGTTTTTTAGGCAGATTTAAGAAAACTGACAGTCTAAAATTTCATCAGTGTTCTAGCATGAACGAACACTGGCTATTCTTCAGATATAATATGTTCAGTGTTATAAAAGTATTGCATCTGATTATGTGTTTTCTGAAAGATAACAGAGCCTTGCATGTAAAATCACCATCTCTATGCAAATATTGCATCTGGAAATACAGGCCACTGACTAACACTGGCCTCACAGCCCATTGCTAGTTTCAGTCATTATGCAAATGTGCTTTTTAAAAGTTTTACAGTCAGTTGAGACGGCACAAGTCACTTGGAACGAGTGAGGAAATGTTTCTCCCACTGAAAACGCTACGTCCAGATGAATAGAGACAACTTTTTTTTTTTTTG